TATATAGGCCTATATATATATATGTATATATATATTATGTATATGTATATATATATATATGCCTATATATAGGCCTATATATATATCGACAGAAAAGATCGGGGTTTGCTAGAAATTGGGGTTTGCCCGAACCATAACCACCAACCCCCATCCCCCGGCCACGGACCTGCACATTGAACATGTAATACCATCATGGCTCGTGGTCGCTGGCGCGGCATTCCGCCTTGACAGCCAGAGCCACATTTTTTTTGGCCCCGGGAGTACACCCGGATATTCATCTAAGGCATACTTAGACATTGTTTAAGAATATAATCATGTACTGACATACTGTGCGTAAAAAAGAGGTCCGGGCCGCGAGGCTTCTTCTGGCCCTGGGGAAACCCATCCGCTTCGGCTTATTTGACGTTTTAAAAAATATGTTGGTGGTTATAGGCCCGCTCGGTAATGTATGTGAAAAATTGATAACTATATAAGTCCTTGGCCCATGGCTTTAGCCAGAGAGCTCGCTCTTGTCACTACTGACATAGGCCTACAGTAGATGTAAACAATGTACGAGTCATTAAACAAGCCTGGATTGGCAACAACATATGCTGTCAGTAGGCCTAGTACAGATATGTTTAGGCCTATGTTGTTTTATATTGTACCTCAATAAAACAGAAATTATTAAATAACCTACAGCCAATGCCGTAGCCAGGATTTTCAAGTTGTGTGGGATAATATCAGGGTGGACCCACTATACGCGTAAATTCAAATTCATTTTCTTAAAAGTTGTTCCATTTCACGCAAGACATTTGATGGCGATCGAAGTCACACATAACATGAGTAAAAAAAAAAAAAAACTATACACAAATTTAGACACACAAATGGAATTTGATATTTTGCAACAATATATTGGAAACTAGGCCTATCACAAAATCATCGATGAGAGAATTTCAAAGGTAGAAAGAATTTCAAAGAAAGACGTAGCAATTTGCTAGCGACATTTCTGATGGAACGAAAAGGAACAAACTCGCAGTACATCGTATGGATTTTCTAGTAAGGCTATATGGTGCGTTTTGTTGATCATTGACAGCCTACAAGCACTAAATAGCTAGCATTCCATTCCGTGGCCCAACTAGGAATGCAATGATGTGGTTATGTGAACTGCCGCGGTATTATATTGAGCGTGTGGTGCGAAAAAATGGGACACGCGAAAAAAGCGTGTGTACTTGAACTGAGCATAGAACGAATCCTAGAAGGTTCCAGGTAGGATCCTACTGTAGCGATGGGAGAAACCCTAGTAGGTTCAAGGTTGTTGGGATTCGGAATAACGTTAATAATCAGATGGTTTGACGAAGATTAAATGTAGGCCTACGGAAGACTTTGCAAAACTGACTGGAGTCTTTATTAACAAATTATTGCTACAGTATTAGAATTTACGAAATACATCTACAACCCCCTACTTCCTATCCCTTATACACATCTAGATGTGTATAAGAGACAGGGCCACAACCAAGCGATAGGTAAATTGAACCAATTAGTCCTGCGAAATAATCAATCCAAAAAACATAGTGAAATTATTAACAATTACTATGGCAATAATATATAACACAAGACATTAGAAAAGGTTCATATACAATAGTTTCTCCAAAAGGAATTTGTGAAATAATAAGTAATAAAATAAATTGCAACTTATAGGCCTAATCATTTAAGTAGCCTATTTGTACAATTTTTAATGTTAAATAAAATTAAATGGAATGAGGTAAAAGATGATAAAATGAGATAAAATTACATGAAATGTGATGGTATGGTACAATAA